GCGAGTGTGTGGGTTATCGAAGTCTAATGAGGGTGACGAGATACGTACCTGGTGCATGAAGAGAGGTCGGCTGTGAGGTTGACATCATGTACATTGATCTTCGAGAGTCGAAGTGAGCCTGTTGCGTGAACACAGCTGTAGGTAGAATAGTCGAGTAGAGTAGGCTAGGCGCTGGGCGCCAGACAGAGAGGAGCGACTTTGGATACTGTGTTGGTGTGGCCTGAGGGCTTGAACATTGGCTCATTACTTCGTTGTATTGCTCTATTTGGATGGAATCTCGGCGCATTTGTGCTCTCCGCTTGTACACGACTACTTGGACATCTGTGTGATTTCGCAACTTGGTTTTCTGTATATCGTTCACACTCATATTCCTTGCACATGTTTCTTGTGTTAGTTTTTATTTTCTGAAGAAAGCATTTTGTCATTCTCTCTCCCGTACTCCTTGATTCTGGCCCTCAGTCTGAGGTCATTGTTCCTCCGCTTATGGATCCTCACTGTTTCCAATGCGTCCTTGCACACATGATTCCCCCATTGTGAGTACACATAATTCCCTAGTGGTGAGAGAGGGCTGCTCTTATCACCCTCTTAACTGGGCTCCTGCCCTGAAGTTATAATTAAAAAAAAAAAAAAGATTATTCTGGACTAGTTTTCCTACCGCGTTTTCCCCCTGCTCTTTGGCCTTATGCTTAGCAGCTACAGTTCTAGAGGTTTTTTATTTTGATAACGAATTGGATAAACGTTCTACCAGCTGTGGGAATGAAGTTGTTTTTGTGCCATGTTTCGTGCACACTTCTAGAACTGCCTTTCTCATTTCGTTCGTATGTAGAATAGCATTAGTAATTGTGAAGAAGCCCCTACCGCTCGTCGGTTCTGCGTCTAATGCTAGATTTAGGTAGACAAATTTGTAACCCCTTTGAGAGTCTGTAAAGCCCTGGGTCGAACACTGCATTCCCATCTCCAGTCATTCTCAATTGCGCCGGTGTGTTGCAGGCCAGTCGTTTCCGAACAAAAAGTACACACGTTCTATTCAAGTTACTTCTGAAAAACAGGTTCTCAGAAATCTTATCTTTTCCGAATGGAACATACATTTGAATTCAACGTAGGCGGAGAGTTGTTGAGAATGTTGACTTTTACCTCTACTATTATTGTTCTCCAGAGATCTATGACAACCGAGGGTGTCCAACAGCCAGTTCAATGGACAGACTGCCAGGTCCTCAGGCATTATTTTACATTGCAAACAGAATGATGCGGCCAGGAGGATGTCCAACCGGACCAGGTCCGCCTCTACAATCCTCAAAACATAGGACTTGCCAACTTGCTTCTGCTACCGCCAGTCTGTGCCTCATAGAGTTGACCGCACGCTGGCCAGTAGACAAGTTGGTTAATGAGCGCCTGCCGTGCCCGTGAAGCTACTGCCACTAAGGGTTGCTTCACAGAGTCAATTACCTATCTACAACATGCAGCCTGTCTGACCGACGTAAAACCTAATGACATTAACAAGAACTGGCAACAGCCGCTCAAATCTCCTGGATATACCAGCGAAAATCCAGGATAAATGTTTGACACACAACATCGAAGGCTAGTGATACTTCGAGGTTATGCTTAAGCCAACGATACTTAATGTATGCTGTGAGAAGTAATGCCTCCGAGTCATGAAAGGATTTCACGCTGTGTCCATGTCCCGAGTCCCAGTCCCTGAGTCACACCTTGGCCCAGTCCCAGTTGGTCCCCGTAGGTCCCAGCTAGAGGGTCCTAGGAGTCCGGTAGGGCCTATACGAAGCATCGTAGGCCTGTGGAGTCTGATAGTCAGGTTGTTAGAAGTCGTAGGCCTGGTACCCGACAAGAAAAGTCTACAGTTCCAATTTTGCAGCAGCATCCTGGGAGAGTCCGGTAAGTTCAGGAACTGACAACTTGCAGCCGACAGGTCGTGACGACCGGTACCTGTCTGGAGCCGACAACGATTCGGTTGTGCAGCTATTTATAATTGCTACAGTGCAGCGTCGGGTCACTTGTCAATTTGCATGTTCCGAAGCTCTGCTGTAGCGCTTGTGCGACCAACGGGTTGGACAGT